TTTGTTACATGTTTCTATTAGTTTTATCATTTGTACTCAAGTAGGAGGACCCTTTTTAAAGCATTCTCGAGAGAAGTAGGTTTCCTCAATAAGGTAAAAGTAAGGTCAAGGCGTACACGAGCCAAAGGCTAAAACGGCCTCCAGATCCAGAGTTCGAGGTCTTACCCGCTCGGCCACACATGCCTCCACAATAAGTAATGACTTTATTACTGGATGTGTTAAAACTAAATCGTTACTCATTGTGTATTTATTCATTTCGAAGGCCTGTTCATAGGCTAAATTTAAAACGTTTTCATTTTAAGGAATGAATATTGGGGTTTGGAGCAGAAAGGGGATTGTTCTCAGCGACGTTTCAGGCTTAGCCTTTTATTACGATGTTTTTGGAGATAATCGTTCCGTCCTGCGTCTCAGGTCATAACTTAGAGCGCGTTCCCCCCTGGCAGTTTCTACTTCGTAATATGCGTCGTAAGATTTTACCACTGGGAGATTTTGGAATCTGGTCAATAAACTCCACTCCACCCCTGAGCTTTTTGTGAGGAGCAACTCGCTCTTCCACAAATTTCACAATGTCATCAGAGGAAACGTCACCACGACGGACAACGAAGGCTTTCGGCAATTCTCCGGCTACAACATCAGGGACTCCGATCACTGCCACATCATCGATGTTCGGGTGAGTGATCAATAACGCTTCCAGCTCGGCTGGAGGGACCTAAAAATATGAAATATCGATTGTTTCTCTACTGCTGTGAACAAAAAAGGTTTTTTAATGCCGTTAAAACGGTTACGGATTTCTACTATGTAACCCAGATGCACCGAAGCCGCAGGAGAAGCGCCGGAGACGCACAAAGGCGATCAACAAATAGGAGCGGAGGGGAGGGGCAGGGAGGAAAATGAAATCGTTCATTAGCTCTCTCACCCATCCCCTGACTTCAACTTCTTTGTCTCCTTTTCGCGCGTCTCCTGTACTTCTCCTGCATGGCCAGAAGGAAACAGGAACCACAGCTACGCAGGCTTAGATGTAGTAACTAAAACGCTCTTCTAACCTGAAATCCTTTGTACTTGATCAGTTCTTTGATTCGATCCACAATGTAGAAGTATCCATGTTCATCATAATGCCCAGCATCACCACTGTGCAGCCAGCCTTCTCTGTCTATCGTACGAGCTGTTGCCTCTGGCTTGTTTAAATAACCTGTGCAAACATAAAGAGAGCAAGGCAACATAGATATAAGTGGACTGCGAGCAGCCTTTTGATTTTAAAAGGGGAGTTCACGAGCGCGCGAGCGGCGAGGAGCGAAGCCTAGACTCGAGACGAGGGCGGCAAAAAGAAACGCCTCTTCTGTCTCGCGCCTTGTGTCACGCGGGTGTCATTTTCTTGTCTCGTTCGTCTCGCTGGACGGACTAAGAAAAAAGAGATGTTGCTCGATGTCTCAGATATCAGCCATATCACCAAGTAACAGACTATACTTAGTGATACAATTGGTCCATGGGCAAGGAGCAAAGGAGTTATGTTAGGGTAACACAGGGGAACACAGGGTAACAGAGAGTAACACAGGGTCACACAAGGTAACACAATGTAACAGTCAGGGTAGCACAGGGGAACACAGGGTCACACAGAGTAACACAAGGTAACACACGGGAACACTGGGTCACACAGAGTAACACAGGGTAACACAAGGGAACAAAGGGTAACACAAGGGAACACCGGG